GTGGCCCAGGGAGGAGCAGGGCACAGGAGAAGGGCGAGGGAGGTACGGAAGAGGAGGGAGGAGGAGGAGGAGGAGGAGGAGGAGGAGGAGGAGGGAGCAGAGGAGGAGGAGAGGGGGGCGGGGGAGGTGGAGGGAGGGGGGAGGAGGATGCAGAGGAGGGTTCACATCAGCAGGAAGAGGAGGAGGAGGAGGAGGAGGAGGAGGAGGAGGAGGAGGAGGAGGAGAAGGAAGAGGAGGAAGAGGAAGAGAGAGAGGAGGAAGAGGAAGATGAAGGGGTGAGAGGAAGAAGAGGAAGAGGAGGAGGAGGAAGAGGAACAGGGCTTGGACGATTCACATCAGCGTCTTCTGCGAGCAATGGGTGGTACGAGGATTGACTCTCAGGCTCCATTGCTGGAGAAGCTGAGCGAAGTCAAAGGGGACATCCAGTTTGTTCGAAAACAGGTGAACACCCCTGGAGAGGAGGTCAGGATCTTGAGGGAGAGGACGGACAAGAAGGACCAGGAGCAGTTTGGAGGAGCGCCTGGAGGTGGAGGGTCGTCAACTGCAGTCTGTGGGCCTCGTGGGGGTCAGCACGGTTTTACACCCACGAAGGTCGAGATCAAAGGCGCGTGCGAAGGGGGTGACAAGCAGACGAAAGGGCACGCCGAGCAGGAGGTCACGCAGTGGCTACAGAAGCTCTCTGAGGCTCTGGGGGGAGACCCAGCTCTTGCGGAGGAATCCTTGGCGAAGGCTTCGAGCTCGAGGGTCATGGCGACTTGTGTATGGTCTTGAGCGTGCAAGCCCAGGGGGGCGTCCACGAGAACGGCCACGCGCGGGATCTCCCACAGAAGCTCTGGGACCTCCTTTGCCAGGGACAAGGTTCGAGTTCCATAGTGGCTCAGCGCCGAGGGTGATTGTGGAGCCCCCACCATGGAAGAAGCCTTTCATGAACCACTGGGGTAAAGCTTTGAGGATCCTAGAGGAGCAAGGCATAGCGGGAGTGGAAGCTCAATGGGGTCCCCCGCTCGAGGCCTACAACAAAACATTAGGATGCTTTCCATGGGCTGCCATAGTGCCATTAAATTGTGGCTCTTTTTTCGATGGATAGCGGCCCGATAGCGGCCCGATCTTGTCTGTAGTCCTTGTCGTCATCATCATTGTCTTCTTCCTCTTCTTCTTCTTCATTATCATCTTCATCATCATTATCATTACCATCGCCATCACCACCACCATACTTTCCATCATCATCTTCATCGCCATCATCGTCATCATCATTGTCATCATCTACATGCTCACCCACATCACCATCATTAAATTCATCACAATTGACATAAGCTGCCTGCCTAGGGCGTCTGCAAAGCTACGTCCAATAACCTGCCGTAAGCTGCCCGCGTAGAGTGTCCGCGTAAGCCTGCGTGCCGGAAAAGGGTTCCACCAATGCAGTCCGACGCGCCATTGTCGCGGAGGCACGGCGCCCATGAGGTTGTCGTCGTCGTCGTCGTCGCGGTCGGCGTCGTCGTCGTCGGGCCGGCCGGCCGGCCGGCCGGCCCCGCCGGCTCCGCTGGCCCCGCCGGCTCCGCCGGCCCAGCCAGCCAGAGTGGGAGGAGGACAACGGAGGAGGAGGAGGAGGAGGAGGAGGAGGAGCAGCAGCAGGAAAAAGGAGCAGGAGCAGGAATAGGAGCAAGAGCAGGAGGAGGAGGAAGAGGAGGAGGAGGAAGAGGAGGAGGATGATGGCGGGGAGGGAGGGGGGGGGCGGGGAGGAGGACGGGGAGGGAAGGAGGAGGAGGAGGAGGAGAGGAGGAGGAGGAACAGGAGGAGGAGGAGTTGGAGGAGGAGGATGAGGAGGAGGAGGAGGAGGAGGAAAGGGAGGAGGAGGAGGATGAATAGTAATAGTGGGAAGAAAAGAAGGAGGAGGAGGAGGAGGAGGAGGAAGAGGGATGAGGAGGAAGAGGTGGCGGCGGAGGCGGAGGTGGAGGAGGAAAGGGACGGGGAGGAGGAGGAGGAGGAGGAGGAGGATGTGGCAGAGGAAGGAGGGGGGAGGAGGAAGAGGAGGAGGAGGAGGAGGAGGAAGAAGAGGAGGTGGAGGAGGAAAAAGAGCCTCCCACGAGGGATCACACCGGATAGTGCGCATTTGCATTATGGCACATCCCAGTTCTTTATCCAACGTGAACAACCTTAGCGTGTGTATAGCAAGTATCCCTCTGACCCCACTAGAACCTAAGCGCACCAAGCGCGATCCCAAAGGGAGACAGACTGCCGGTGGGACAAAGAGGGGCTGCTGGTGCGACAGAAGCGACATAGACTGCTGGTGCGACAAGGGAGAGACTGTTGGTGAGACATCTGCCGCGCAGCCCGCGAGAGACTGCCAGTGTGACGAAAGCGTGCGAAGACACGGGTTCGCCTAGATAATCGCGTTTCCATGCTCTCTTTCTCGCCCTCTCTCTCCTCAATCTCCCCCGCGCATGTAATATATTGTAACGAGCAGTATATTGGCAAATGTGGGAGGCCATCCTGGGGTGTCTCAGGCACTCTTGGAGCCATCAACGGCCATCCTGGGCGCTCCAATGGGTGTGCCCCCGTATTCTTCCAGGCCCAGACTGTTGGGGCAAGGCCTGCCAACGAATGGCGGGATTTGGAAGACACAGTTACGCCCAAACGTCTTGTAGGAATTCCTTTTGTGTGATTCGCCTTATCGCAGTGGACCGCTTGCTGAATTCCCGCGGAAGCTGGTGGGAGCAAGCGGGCTGTTGTTTCGCAAGTACATCGGGCTTTAATTCGCGCCCATCGTTTGGTTCAGGGCGTGCCCCGAGGTTTCAAGGCCTCTCAGGGCCAGGGGCCTCCTAGGGCATCCCAAAGCATCCGCGAGCCATTTTGGTTTCAAGATCGCGTGTTTGGCCCCCGGCTAAAGCAGAGGTATCGCACTGCGCGGCCCGACCCGCCTTCTCCGAGGATCGCTCTGGCCAGGCACGGTGGCGGTTTACATTCGCATTCTGTGAATTCTTGTCGTTTGTATCCATGGCGCAGCAATTGGCCACGTTGGTGTCCCACGCTAGGTCCGCCCTGGGGAACTTGCTGTCGCGATTGCGGGCAGACGGTCTTGATGCAAGCCACCAGCGCGTCTTCGATAATGCCACCGCTCTCATGGACGATTTGGAGTGTGAATTGTTGACGCTTCGCGTATCCCCACCAGCCTATCTAGAAACGATGCCCATGCGAGTTGCCTTGTTCAGGGGAGCGGGGGGGGGGGCATATAGTGGACCAAAAGCTGGGGAAACCGTCGACCCGAAGTTTTGGATCAGCCTGCGCCGACCTAGGAACGAACCGTATGCGCCTTCGCGGCCCTGTCGAATGAGGAAGGCCGGTGGAGAATGACGAGGGGCATGAGGGACAGGAGGGAGGGGAGGAGGAGGAGGAGGACGAGGAGGAGGACGAGGAGGAGGAGGAGGAGGAGGAGGAGGAGGAGGAGGATCAGGAGGATCAGGGGGAGGAGGACGAGGAGAAGGAGGAGGAGGAGGAGGAGGACGAGGAGGAGGAGGAGGAGGGGGAGGAGGGGGGGAGGGGGAGGAGAGGGAGGAGGGAGGAGGGAGGAGAGCAGGAGGGAGGAGGGAGGAGGGGGAGGAGGAGGGGGAGGAGGAGGGAGGAGGAGGAGGAGGAGGAGGAGGAGGAGGAGGAGGAGGAGGAGGAGGAGGAGGAGAGAGAGGAGGAGGAGGAGGACGAGGGGGGGGGGGGAGGAGGAGGAGGAGGAGGATGGTGGAAAAGGAGGGGGATGAGGACGAGGAGGAAAATGAGGGGGAAGAGGAGGAGGAGGGAGAGGAGGAGGGGGGATACGAGGAGGGCGAGGGGGACGAAGAGGACGAGGAGGAGGAGGAGGACGAGGCTAACGCCGAGGATGAGGAGGACGATGATGACGAGGCAAAGGAGTAGGAAGAGGAGGGGGGAAAGCAGGAGGAGGAGGACAAGGAGGAGGAGGCGAAGGACCCGTCCAGGTCCAGGGGAGGGGGTAAGGGGGAGGGGTAAACCCTTCCTCGACGGGGAAGAAGAGGGCTGGAAGAGGAAACTTTCTGAACCACATACGCCCTAAAGGGCCGGTTGGATTTGATTCGGTTTCGCGGCGGGGGCGCAAACGACAAGCCGATCCCGCCGCCGAGGTTCAGCGTCTTCGACGTTCTTTGAGGCACCAGGGGGAGCTGCGCGCGCAGGCCGAAGCAGATCTGGCACTCCAAAGTGGCGACCCGACGTTCAATCGCATCCACCATCTTTGGCACGTGCGCGTCGCTGTAACCCCCCCGTCGATCCCAGCGCAAACCCTTTCGAGTTTGTGCAGAGATTTCGGCGTGCAGGAGGTTGCAAGGATCGCCAGGAGCACTGTGAATAGAAGTCGGGACGCTTTCTGTGAGATCATCAAGAATATGAACATGCGGGAGGTGGAGAACCTTGCGAAGTCTGGGGCTTCGGCGGGGTGCACCGTTATGCTCCGCCACGTGCATGACGAGGCGCCAATGCGCCTCAAGTCGTACGTGGCCGACGACGGTGGGCCGTACGATTTGTCGGGGCCTGGCGTGGCTCCATGCAGGGGGCGGTCTAGCAAAATTCAGAACGACACGCTCACTGTCTTCTGCGGGCGGCAGTCGGTAGTCTGTCTCACGGAGCTCCAGGCGTTGCATAAGAAGGACGCCGACAACATCGCTACGGCCGTGCTCCGGTCTGGTCTCCCTGTCGTTCGTAGGTGCGTAGATGCCCGACGGGGGTCGCCATCGCCCATCCGCATCCTGTACCTCCTGGTCGGCGACGCCGTCGGTACCAATGGGGCGGCAGCTCGCCGAGTCTGCAAGTATTTGCAACAATTGGAGTCGGAATTGGGGTGCCTCATCTGTTTGGTACAGATAAAGTGCGCCTCGCACCAGAGCAACCTATGCGTCCACGTCGCCGTGGCCGGGGGGCTTGTGGCCAAACCTGCTGAAAATAATCCGTTGGCTGGGACATGCGTGCGGTTGTTCCGCTACTTGTTGAGCGACTACTTG